AGCAGGATCTTGGATGTCTGAGCCTCCTTGGAGAAGGGACACTGGTGACAGGAGCCTTCCTCCCCACCCGCACTGCTACTCCGTGTGGATGTTACGCCTCGCTGGGTGAGGCAAGTAAATCCCAGCCAGCACCCCGACCAGTGTCATTAGAGCTTTGTCTATCAAAAACAACAATAGCACAGCTCATGGAGGTAACGGAGGTGACCTTTAGATCCTTCCTCCTCTCTGAGCTCACGACTCGGTGCAGTACCGAGATGTTCCTGTGCCGCAGGTAAGCCCTTATGGGCAGCAGCTCCATGTGTCAGCCCTTCAGATCGCAGACAAAGGGAGTTCCTGTGCTCAGTCTGTTCTCCTGCACCCTGGAGCAGGCCTGAGGAAGGGCTGGGAGCTGCCACGGGGAGGGAAGCCTCTGGTAAAGCCGCTCTCTGGGCACAGGCTGCGTATTCAGGGACTAATGGGTGCTTACACCGAACAAAAGGCTCAACAGTTTGACCCAAATGCAGAGGCAACACCCAGCGCTTCCCACTTCCCACACCCCGCCCTGGTGATCCCACACCCTTCCAGGTCACCAGGCTCCTGGCCTTGTCCCTCTGCAGCCTGTCCAAACCCAGCTCTGCCGAACCGTGGACAGGCAGCATCCGCATCCCCATCCCGCCTCCCCGACAAACACACAACCATGGTGAGCAGCCAGAAAAGCTGGTTTACATCCACAGTGAACCACCAGCGAAGTCTCAGTGCCTCCTGAACCACCCAGCTCAGCATCAGGCAGCAGAGCAGGAGCCTCTCCAAGTGCAGTTACACAGATTTAGGCAGATCTCCTGCACCCATCACGACTCCCAGTTCCCGTCAGCAATAAATGCTGCAACTGACTGTATCTGCTCCGTATCACCACGTTCCCTTCAGCTCTCATAACCCGAGCTTCTTGTTGGCAGAGAAATGCAAAAAAAAAATCCCCCAAAAGCCAGTTTCTGTGTTCTGAGTGTGCCCCCAAAGAAATGCCGGGTATGCTCCGAGTACCTCCCTCAGCAGAGGGACAGCCTGTTGGTGTCACCGGCTGGGAATCTCGGCAGCTTCCAAAACACAGCAGCACTTGAGCATGCTCCGACCTGGAGATATTCAACCTCATTGTTTGCACCAGGAGACAAGTCAGAAGCCTGCCGTTAAGCCAGCACCATTCACTGGAGCAAACGGGCAGGAAAATCCTGCAAGGGGTAACTTCTGAGTGCAGCGAGCTGGTCCAGCAGCCTGAGCTGGGAACACAAGGCTGCTCTGAGCGGCCTGTCCTGTCTGGGGTTAAATTGACAAGAAACTCTGAGTCCTTGCAAAGGCTAGTGACACGATCAGCACCCCCACCTCCTCTTCCCAGAAAGGACAAACACTTTGGACAGGATGAGAAAGCTTGCCAGGATTAGCAGCTGGTTCTGCAGCTCTGGCCAGGAGCAGCGGGGTTACCCCCAGGTTCGGGAGGCACATCAGCAGCTCCACACCTCCACCAGCCTGAGAGAGTTCCCACCTTCCAGAGCTTCTCCTTTAACCAGAGTTTGCAAGGGAACAGCTTTTGCTTGTTTAACCTTGTATTCCAGTCCCAGGGCAGTCTATCAGCAGCACCTAACGCTCTGCACATTAACCGCCACGTGAATCACGCCTCCACCGAGTTATGACCTCCTGAAATGTAATCGGGGTGATTCCCAGAGCCAAACAAGGAAGCGAGCCTGGTGACATCCTCAAGTCTTTGCGTGACCTATATTTCACAGATCTCAATCCATTTTTGCATCTGGTTGTGCTGTGAACTCAAACAGAACGAGGTGAGCACATCTGTGCGTCCAGCCCACTGCGGAGAGCTGCTGCTCAGAGCATGCAGCCGGGCAGCTGGAGCCTCTGACCTCTTAATTACAGAGAGCCTGATCGTCATCTAGAGATGGCTCAAAGTTTGTCTGCAGGATTACTTCATGCCCACCTGAGAAGCTGGCAGATTTTTAGGATGTTTGGGTGGAATTTATGCAGTTCAGATGACCCCAACTGCAGGGTCTCAGGGTAAGACCATACACAGGATCAGGATGACCAGCTGTGTATCTCTGCTGACGCAGGGGTTTGTGCACCTCACAAATAGTGAATTCAGGAATTTGTGTGCCTAAATGAGAAAGCACACACCAGTGCTGCTGCCTTCCCAGCCTACCCAAGAGCAAGGCAGCTCTCCAGAGCTGTCAGGATGCTGGCAAGCAGCACAAGAGCTTTCCAACACACCAGGCCAGCCCCAGCACCCCAACCCACCGGGCAGTTACCGTCAGGCCCCCGTGTCAACCCCTGCACCAGACAATCGCTTCACGAGACCCCCTGCCACAGGGTAGCTGCTAGTTTAAGGTGTCAGAAGTCACAGAATCTGATGTTTTTGCCCCATGTTCACTCAGTAGCAAGGACTACCCTGAAAGCTGGCGATATTCGGAACCCCAGTCCTGAAGAATCTTTAGGGACTGCTCCCAGCTATGCAAGAAGCCATTTCACTGGGGATTTGCTGGCTTGGAGTCAAAATACTCAAGACAAAAACCCCAGTGAAGTATTTATCTTGTTAAATAGCTGACAGTGTTACATGAATTCCTTGGCAAAGAAAGCCCTGAAGTTACCGAGTGGTTTTGCTTCACCTGACCCGAGCGGGCAGCCAGCCGCCACCAGAGCAGCCGGTGCTGCCTCACTCCCCCCCAGAGTCAGCTTCAGGACCCCCACTCACAACCAACCTCCAGGAGCAGGACCAGCAGCAAGTGTGGGACCGGCCAGAGCCACACACACTGCACAGCCCGGATTAGCACAGCAGAGCCTCAGACTGATTTTCTCACACATTAATAGGATTAATAAGAAGAAACTTCAAAAGCTTTGCTGCAGCAGGGTCCACGCTGCAGAGGAAGGAGTCACAGCCTCCCAGAGACTTGGGCATTCCCAGTTCAATGCAGAGGAAAATGGGATTTACATCAGCAAAAAGTTAAATTACTTTTTGTTGGTAGCTACAGCCCTGACCAAGCACAGTGGAATCTGCAGTACCAGCTCCTTCCCATGCTTTTAACACTCGCATCTGTTCCCCAGCATCTGCAGAGCCACAGCCTCGAAAGCAGCCCCGGCAGACGGCTGTTTGTCAAAGCAGCTTTTCGAAAACAACTCTATCAGAGATCTCAAGGCCGCTACCCTGCAGCCACCACACAACCCTGCCTGCAGGGATGCTGTACACAGGACGGCACAACGTGCAGCTGCCCCAGGGGGGTAAGGCAGGGCTGAGCCCAGAGAGCGGCCCCTCCATCGCCCCAGCCCGGTCGCGGGAAGGAGAGCTGCCGAGCACAGAGCCATCCTCCTTCCGTCATCTCGAAGGCTTTTTAAGGCTGTAAGGCAAGAGGAACCCAAGAGAAGAAACACTGCTGAAGCCCAAGTTTCTGCTGCTTCACACCTGAGGCCTGGTCACAGGCTGCTGCTCAGTGCCGAGCACGAGGGGTCACCACTGCAGGTCTGACCTGTACAGGCAGCGTCGCACTCAGACAAGATCGCCTGAAGTCCGGATGAACTCAGAACTCACTGTTTATACAGAAAGCTCCTGCCCAGTTTCAGACCAATTCCCGTTTGCAAGTGCCATCTGCCTGCAGCAGGCAAGCCCAGCCCAGCTCAGCTCCGAGGATGTTAAGCCGCGAAGCCGGAGCACCCGTGTGTCCCACAGCACGGATGGGGCTGGGGAAGAGGAGGCAAAGATCACAGCCTGCACTGCCGGGCTCCGGCAGTACTTTGGTCAGCAGAGGGAGTTCCCAAGCGCCTTCAGGCTCCTTCTAGCCAGTTTAACCCCAGACACAACCCCCTCCGAAGGGTTTCCAGGTTTAAGCAGTTATCCCTTACCAGGAATTCTTGAAAACGCCTCATGAGGCAGAAAGACATCACACTAACTGATGCTACCCTGGAGCTACAGATTTTGTGCTCAGCGTTGAATAGCTACCAGGACAGGAGTGACACTGGCAGCACAAGGAAGTTCCCCTTCTAATCCAGTGGGGGTTTAATTCTGCAGAACAGCATGACTAATTGCTTTTAAAACTGCAGCTAGTGTTCTGTTAGATCACCACCGAGAAACAGGCAGTGAGGCCACACGGCGGTGTGGTGCTTCTGCCTGGTCCTCCTGTGCCAGGACAGCAACAGGGTAGCTCCAGAACTCACATCCTAACCAGGGCCACCGATCCCCGGCTGTGGTGACACCATAGCAGGTGAGCTCACACCAGATCAGCGATCAAGAGCCACGAACACAAGCTTTCTGCTTCGCTGAGCTGTGGAGACAACACACTCACAAAGATTGCTCTAACAAGAGCAGAATGAGAAGTGGCCCCTTCCTACCAAGTGCTATCAGGGCACGAATCGCAGCAAGACTCCAGGGGAAGAGCTTTGCCCTGCCTTCATTTCACACCAGCTTCTCGCTAGCTGCAGGGAGGAAAGACTCCATATTCCCTGTCCCCAGACTAACTCCCTCTTGGAGGTGTTACCTACTTCCAGTCACCCTTGACACCGCAGAACTCAATCCTGTTTCACAGGAGATGAGTTACTCCTCCAGCCTAGTAGTGCCTCATGAGTGCAGCCTGGACCAACTACAAATTGAACAAAGGCACCAAGTTGTTCATTCAGCAGGCAAGGTTCTTTCAACTCTGACCAGCAGTCTAGCAGCAAATGTTTTCAGACAGCACCCGCTACCCGGTGAACAAGGTGGCAAGATGACAAACAATGCAAAGCAGAGCATTGCCATCTTCGCTGTGACCTTCACGGTATCTTTGCCAGACTGCACAAAGATCTCCTGCCTCCAGCAGCTCCTTATTTG